TACTTGTCTCCTTGCCCCGCTTCTGGAAAATGGCACGCTGTGCTGTGGAGAAGAGGGCTTAAGGAATTGCCTAAGTCAAGCCAATGGGACCTGAACTGTTCCAAATGTTATTTTCAGTCCTAAGAAATCCACGTACTTGTTATTGGACAGATTAGCTGCTCAGATCAAGAGCTACCCATATGTTCTGTCTTACAAATGCACACCAGGTCCTGGGATTGTCTCCCATGTCCCAGACGAAGAACAACAGAGCATCCCCAGGGCTCTGACTGCCCTGTGGCTGGTGGTGGGGATGAAAAGGTCTGCACCCAGCCCTCACCCTGGCAGTGGTGCAGGGAGGTGCTGGGGCCAGGCCCACGTGCTCTCGCATCCTCCCAGCCTGAGCACCTTCTCAGACTGCTTGGAGGAGCCAGTTCTCCACACACCCACTCTCTTCACAGCAGACTTGGAAGCTGTCTGCAGCTGCAGACCCCCAAACAACACATTCTCTAAATCATTCTCCATCTATCTTGAAAAGGTGAGCAGGTTACACCTAGATATTATTTGCTCATCACCTCACTTGACATTGTTGGGGCAAGCATCTGAAGATCTGAAGCAACCTCCTCACTCAGCTTACTGTTTCTTCTGACAACTAAGTTTGCTAGAGATTTATACTGGCAAAAAGAATTATCTGTTCAAATGTCACAAGGATAAGCCTTTTTAGTTGCTATGCCTAAGACACATTATAAAAAAAAAACCATCTCTAACAAGCGATTTCATGGTCAGTGGCAGAAACATATTTCTTCCCAATCTGCTGCAAGCACGAAAAGCCCAGGTATTTCTCATCCATTTACAAGGCAGGGAAATTTTCTGCACAGAATGAGTCACTTCAGCTCAAAGACTTTAATAAATGTCAAATAAGTGGATGTCCCCCCAGACAGCCGGCAGAGCAGCTGTGGTGCCGTGCTACTGTGGCTGCCTGCAGTAGGTGGGAGGGGAGCGCTTCGGGGGCAGAACTGGAAAGCACACACTTCTAAAAAAAAAAGCAGTGTCAGGCTCGGGGAGCAATTTCTTGCCCTATCTACATCAGCAGCCTGTGGGAACCTGCTTGTGGAAACAAGCTGGTGTTACTTGCTGGCATCGTTTTAGAGAAAACTTTGCACTGAAGTCTTGGAAAACCCCAACCTGAAAAATCTGTTCCTCAGTCACTAGTTATTTGGGATGCCATGTTCCACATACATGTCTTGCTCTAATCTGTAGTCACACTGAAAGCACAAGGAGCAAACCAAAATTATCCCACTCATTAATTAGGAGACATTCTGGGAGATCTGGGGATGAGTGGTCTTTGACAGGTACTGGGTGATGAAAGGCACAAAGATCTTGGGACAAAGCCAAAGTATCTTTATACACATCGCAGGCTACAGGCAGCAGAAGCTCACCTTCTGAAAAGTGTTAAAAGCAACCATCTCTCTACGGGATAATGAGATACAGATAATAAGCAAAGTAAATGTTGGACCAGATGATCCTTGAGGTATCCAAGGAGAATCTCTTCCAACCTGGTATTTGATGATTGTGTGGTTCTATGACATTCCTCTGGCCCAGTGTCCTTAAAAATATTTCAGTTACATTATGACGGAGACATCATGAAAGTATTGGCTCAGATTCTGAGGATGATCTTTAAGCAGTTAGCAATTCACAAAGGTCCATCTGAAAAGCGGGCATGTTCTTTGAAACATATCTGGGGATAGCTACACCCTGATTAAATATTGGAAAATGCAGTAAAATTCTCAACTTTTTAATCACTGTATGTTCTGTGCCCCATAATCTTCACTGTCCTCAACTAGTGTTGCACTGCACTACTATTAATATTTTTCATTTAATACTTCTCTCCCAGTTGCCACAACCAGTCAGTATACTTTTTTTTGTTGTTGTTAATGCATAAAAAGTGAAAAAATATGCCTTGTTTCCACTGTTAATAAACCCTGTCGCCCTCATGGGGTATTGCTACACCAGTTTTCAAAGAAACACAGGGCCATTTTCACCACCTATAACCATTTGTTCATTGGGACTAGAGTTAAAGAGGTATTTAGTCAGCAGCTAGTGTAAGAAAAGTGCAGGGAGCAAAGGCTGTTAATATTCTAGCTCTAAACTAACTTCCTTCGGGATTCAGTAAGTTCATACATCTCCCTTCTCCAAATACCAAGTATAGTGCATGTTCCTCATGACCACAGAAAAAAAAAAAGAAAAAAGTTGGGATTCATGTTTGTGAGGTTGGGTGAGGACTACACAGGCATCATAAAACAAGTAAGTCATAAGGTCTCTGGAGTCTTTAATTATTCTCTTCCTAAGAAGAAAAAGCACATTTTACTCATAAACACTCCAAGAACAGAAAATAAATGTTAGAACAAGTTTCCTCAGGAAATCTCTATATCTCCTTCCCTTCCCATCTTGTCTAATTTCTATACTGTTACGGCATGTTAACCTCTATAGCCAGCAGGTAGACCTGCCATTTTCTGCCAGCAGGCAGAGATGAACCATCCACCAGAAAAACATACTGCTAGCAAGTCCCCGATAAAACACAGCTAAAAACGTGGCAGGGTACTGCAAAATTCACCTACCAAATGCCAATAAAACCCAACACATAGTCAATATAGCGATTTTTGTAGTTCGTGACTTTATGTTTCATCTTATTTTCTGCAAGTTTAGGTTACCAGAACCACAGGCACTAACTCAGCAGGCTTTGGCCAGGCAACAGCCTTTGGCACCATCTTGCTGGCAGTGGCAGCGGCAGCAGCTCCTGGCTCTGGCCAAAAACCACATGTATGCAAAGCAAACAACCCTCATCCCACCACCTCCCCAGGGCATGGGAGCCTGCTTGACCTCCACGTTTTGTAAAACACACTGTAGCCCAAGGCACGGTCCTGGTTAGCGCAATTACTGGGTGAGGTCCTGTGGCTTGCACCACGGTGGTGAAGATCAGATGGAATAGCCTCAGCCTCCAGGCCTGAAAAGCTATTAAAGGGCTGAATATTTCTTCTCTAACCATCTTCAGATCTTTTCCACTGAATCTGTACTTTTGAGAGAAAGGCCTAAACTAGAAAGCCCTGTATATTAGAACTGTATGTTAGTCCATTGTGTTGTATCAAGAAAACACAGGTTTAAATCCAAACTCTCCCTTCCTCACAAAGACTGGTTTGGGACTCTCCTTTTTTCTCCTGTTCCTGGTCACCACAGAGTTTGGTACAACTTGTAGCTAAAAGCATTAAATACCTTTTTACCATAAATACCAAAATCACTTTATTTTTTACATAGCTGGAACATAATTGTATTTCTCCAACCTCAGTTTTGCTCTTGAATGAAAGTGAGCCAAGTCAGTGTTTGCAGTTGTGGTAACCCAAATTTGTAAAAAATAGTACTACAGACTATGTGTGCAATGACAAAAAATGCTATATTGAGTATGTGCTGGCTTTTGGCATTTACAGGAGTTTTGTTCTGATTGTTTTGAATGAAAATTCTGAATATGTAAGTTTAATTCACTGAAAAATAAGTGCAAATTCTTTCATACATGTGAAACTTTATCCATTGCTAGTAAACATATATATATCAGTTGCAATGGTTTGCTGACTAATGTGTTGATTTGGCTGGCTTGTTAAACAAAATGCTAGAATGGCATGCTTTACTGATTCATTTCTCTTCCCCCTTCTACATGTTACTCTCAACTGAATATGCACATTACTTTTTTTTGACAATTCCTGGTACCTTTTATTGAAGATTTTTTCCATTCCAAACCCCACAAAGTTTTCTGTTTGCTTGAAATGTGCACCATGACTTCCTACAAATGGCATAAAATTAAAAGACAAAGGAACTTTCAAGAAATAGAAATCAAGTTAGACAGAAGGTCTGTGTGGAAGAATCTGTATTTGACATTCACATACTATACATCTCTCGTGGAACATTACAAAAATCACAGTGAGGAGCAATTGGTGTGTGAAAAAAGATAATTTCTGAAAAAAAAAATACACAAAGGCATCATGAACTGTCAGCCCAGCATATAGGTCGGCCAGATTTTTCAGCTACGAGTCAGTGAATGTGCTCCATTTTCATTAGTATCAGACTTGCCGTGACACCCTGCTGGGACACACCATCAGAGTTTTCAATCCAATAAGGACTGGAAGGTTGTTAAATGCCAATAGCAGAGTTGCACTGCAGAAGACAGAGGCCAGGTTTGGGACAGAAAGGTGTCGGGCAGCCCCTGTGCCTCCTGCCCTGCAGAGTGACAGAAAGTGGGTAACAGAAAGTGGCATGGAGAGGACTGTGACCCCCTTCATACAGGTTTGCACAGGATCAGCCTATGGGTGGCAAGAAGAAGTCTAAATGGCATGAGGTGGATGTTGACCTGGCTTGAGTTCCCTGGGAGACGGCAGAGTCAAGAGGTGATGAGCCCCTGGTCTTGCTGTCCAAAGTGTCACGGGCATGTCCTGTAACAAGAAGAGGGATCACACAGGTGGATGGACAGGCAGCCTCCCTCAGAGGCTGCATCCACCTGGAAAAGTGAGATGTCGGCACCTGAAGGCAGATGCGGAGAATTTCAGCCCCTACAGCATGACCACAAGTTTCAGCAGCTTAGCATTTTCCCCCTTTTTAAATTTCACTCTGTGAATGGGAGATTCAGAGAGACAGATAATGAGGGACTAGGGCATCTGCTACGAAAAGTTGAGTCCTAGAGAGGATGGAAGGTTGTTAAATGCTGATAGCAAAATCGCACTGTAGGAGACAAGAGGTCCTTGAACTCAACAGGTTGGTCAGGGGATCAAAAACAGAGATCTTTTAGAGGCCAAATTAGAAAGTAACTATTCCTACCTACTATGAAAAACCTTTTTTAAACCCTTTCAAAACATGTTGGTCTATTTATTTTCACTGTTGTGTTTTCCTGAGGAGGTGGTCCACTAGCCAGACTGTTTGCAGATAAACTGGAAAAAGTCCTCTCAAGTTCCAAGGAAGCCTGTTGAGCCAGGTTTACTCTGGAAAAAGTCCTCTAAAGTTCCAAGGAAGCCTGTTGAGCCAGGTTTTAGGCCAGGGCATTGAGATAGCAACAAGGGGGGAGCAAGATGAGCATCGCCACAACTGTCTTTACAAATTAGTGCAAGCAGTGAACAACAGCAGCATGTCTCCTGCTGTGATCAAACACAGAGAAAACCAGCTATGTGCAGCCAGCCAGTCAGCAAGTAGAGGTGCTGTGACTGGAGATAGCCCAGACAGCAAAATTACTTTCTCCAGCTCTGCATGAACATGGTGGCCAGTACAACCTTTCTCCCTAAAGGATGCAGTCAGCTGAGAAGCCTGTGAGCAGGACACATGCCATAGGGTGACGGCTCTCAAAACACCAGTGCCCTCCCCTGGGGCTTGAAGGGCTGAGATATGCAGGTTTGGAGGGGGGAAACCCAACACAGCAGCCTGGTGAGCAAGAAAAATAACACAGACAACAAGGAGACAGGTTGACCTTGGCTAAAATGCCTACTGTTGAAGAGTTAGACTCCTCAAAGAGGAAACTAAAAATTATTTTCTTAGTGATACAGGAGAAATATATGAATCCAGGAGAAAGATGATCAAGACAGACATGCCTATGAATATGCAGCTTAGTGGTGTGAGAAAAGGTACAGCCAGGACTAAAAAAAAGGATTGCAAAGATGTTTTGAGACATGGGAATACATCTGCTGGTAAAAAGAATGTAGATATGAAGACTGCTTACTTTAGAGTAATGATAAAGACAGGGCCCATTTAATTTTGTTTTGCTTTGGATTATGAGCAAGGGTAGAGATATAATGAGTAATGATTGATAGCCTGAAGTCAATATTTGATTAGGCTGAGATCTGTGAGGTCCTCATCACTGGCATTTCAGAGTCCACACTGGATGTCTCATGAATCAACAGATTGAGAACGGTAAAAGGAAGTCTTTTGGTTTTACACTGTACATCAGTAACCAATGTAAGACACTTCTGCAAAATATTCCCAGGACCAAGGACTTTATGCTTAGTGAGCATCCACAGCCCAAGCTCACACTTTATGCTGCAAGTCAGTGTCTGCATTCAGAATCAGTAACTGTTTGCAGTTCAGAATTTTTTCAATATCCAGGATATTGTGTAATTACTCCTGTTGAGACACGCAGCACTTCTCACTGAAGCAGATGGTACTGGCAGTTGCTGGAAGTCATACAGATCTGGTATAGCAACGGACATTGCAGCACAGAAAAATGTCTTTTTTACTGGGAAACCCATATTTTACCCAAACAACTGGTTTCTGTCAATGATCATAGAATGACAGAGAAGATGCCACCTGTTTGAAGGAAAGAGATCTTGTGAGCTTAGTCAGCCCTTTTTCTGCCTGGGGAAAGCTGCTGTATCCACATCTGACGGATGCTTTTCAAACTCATGCTGAAAAATCACTGACAAGATTCAGTAGTCTCCTAGAAAATTGTACCAGTCTTTCCCTATCCTCATATGAGACAGCATATTTGCAAAGAAAAAAATGAAATAACTTCTCCAGCTATTTCCTCAGTAATATTTCCGTGCATTGTTAGAACACAAAGCACAGTCAATGAAAGTTAAATGGGTAACTTAATCTTTTGAGATAAGAGCAAGAAAGTTTCTAATGAAATTTCTTACCATCAGGACTTCTGAGCTTCTCTTCTGATTTATTAAGACTCTTTTCCCTCCAGACTCTTTGATATACAGAACTTCAGGAAGAATGCTCTCTCCAGGAGGAAGCAAAGGTGAGGTGATTTTTTGATGGGAAGCTAATATCAGCAATAAATATAGGGCAACTTCTGCTGCTTCTTAACATAAACTTTTCTGAGAGGCTGCATAGACTTTGCATTTCCTTAATGGAGATACATTTTTTCAATTTAAAATCCTATGCAAGTGAAATAGTGCTTTCACCGATGATTGCAATAGGAAATCAATTCATCATTACACATTCTGAAATAGATCCCATAAATTGCCTTGGCTCCTGGATTGCAATGCAAGTCTGACAACCCCCACAGCTGAGGCTCTTTCTCCCTATTAAGATAGTGGATGGCATTCTGCCTGCCCCCGTACAAACAGAGCAGGTGAGCTGGCAGTAAAGATAAGACTGAGAGAGATTTGTTGACATCAGATTGATATAGACATTTCTTGCTTGATAGTATTTGATTTTCAGAGGCTCTTGAGAATATAGAGTTTAAATCTCTGAGATTCATGATGTGCTGTACTATACAAGGTCATTCATGTCCCTGACAACTTTATGGGCAATAGCTCCTGCCGTCAGATAGCATTCAATATGTGCAAACACAGGCTGAAAACTACATTCATTTTTGGCTATAACACTGCAGGTCCAGTCTCATGAACTGCTGGGAGCACAATTTATCTTATTGTGCTGAATTAATCTTAAGAAAGTACATTAGACCTATGTCTCAGAGAGGGAAGCTGTCACGGTGAAATTAAGGGATTAGCATCGAACCAGAGAGGCTGCTGCTGCTGGACCAGGGACAGGAGCTCAAAGACTGATGGAAGCAGTCCCGTGTTCAGGCTCCAGCAGGCCAGTTCCCCCTGACTTAAGATGTATGGGCAGTGAAAATTGGTAGCAGCATGCATAGCTCATAACAAAACCACTACATCACATAGCCTGAAAACGTGTCACCAGCCTCTTGGATCTGTGAAGTTGAGCTAAATGGAGACAGACTCTCCTTTTAACTCTTACTTCTCATTTTACTACAACTAGAGAAACACCGTTGCCTTGTGTCATAGCAGAAGTTTCCCAAAACAGGGGTCTGAAGAAACATTTCTTGCCTCAGCACAACCTCCACAGGAAAAATAAACAAACCTTTGCAGAGCCGTGCAGGCATTGCACCAGCCACTGGACCCCACATTTCTCAGCTCAAAGTGGTGCACATTTTTTAGCTCTTCTGTGTCCAAGCTAATAACCCTGATGATCTTTAAACGAATCCCACAATGGGCAAAGTCAGGATATACTAAAAAACCCTTCTCCGAGGGATGTAATGAAAGCCTCTGGAGTAGGGGACAAGGGAGCAGACAAGCCTGCAAACTTCTCCCGGTGAGCAATATCCAACAAGGAGAACATTTGGGTGATGCACAATCATCCTTAGGGGCTCTGCTTCTCTCCTGCTGTACAGTCGGAGGATGTATTTTGAGAAAGGTCAAAGCATGCAAAGCACAGAAGAGCAGCAACTCATTCTTTGCCCTTCTTTAAACCTTGCAAAGGACAGACATTGAAAGCTGAACTACTGGGCCTATGAAAATATTTGCAGTTCTGTCCTGGAATTAAGATAAGAAAAATTATTCATGTAATGAACACAGCCAGATCTCAGGTTATGTAACTTAGGAGGGATTTTTTTAGAAGAGATGAAGATTTTTTTAAGACTTTCACACATTTTTGTGGGTTTACTCCCAAATCCTACACCTGCTTTGGTAACATCACTTTCACTTCAGAGGACAAGATGTGTTAGGATTGGGTGCAATGGAGCTCAGAATGAGGGGACATAAAGTGGCTGGACCATTAGAGCCTGCTGGAAGTTTCTACGACTCCACTAGACTACAGAAAAGAGATGGCAAGGCATGAAGAAGCTGCAGAGATACTACATGAATAAATTTAACACCAAATGCAGGGGAAATCTTTATATGTGTCTGTGGGTGGGTGGATGTTGCATGTGCATCTACAAACACCTGTCAAGTGAGCTGTCCATATACTACAACTGGTACAACACTACAGCTGGTGTAAGTGGGTTTGGAAATAGACTGGGGGAACTGTATCTATAACATCATTCACAGTGAAAAGCTGTTTTCAATTTGTACTGTCACGTAGCAACTAATGTTTGGTATCCACAGTAGACAGTAAATGATGTCTTTGATTTTTTTTCTTTGATATAATATTTTTGGAGTAAAAAACCATTTGTTCCTCTTACTTTTTCCTGTGTAAAGATAATCACAGACTTATCTATAAAGAAGAAAGTTCTCAAGTGGCTCAGGCAGGTGCAGCTTGTGGACTGCATATAGGCACGACCGACCCAGATGCTTTCTGATGCACAACCGGCACAGCTGGGCAAGGCTAGCAGGACCTGGGAAGAAAAAAAGGCAAGAACAAGCACCCCCAACCCCATCACCAGTATAAGTCAGAAAGCAACAAACACCAGTAACATTTGCAAATCAGATCAAGCACTACACAATGACTTGCTGAAGTCAAGGAGAGCTAGCTTATCATTCATATTTAATTTATGTTGTCAAAATTGGTTCAGTGAAAACTATGAGCACTAAAAATCTTTTTCTGCATCTTTTCTCGAGCATGTACTTAAAATACTATAAAGGTGTCCGCATTGGAGAGAGAGTGCCAGGATGCATAGCCTTTGCTCAGGACATAAGACAACTCCCAGTGTTATTGTGAGGATAAAGACAAGAGGGATTACAGGGAGCTGCAGAGGTGTTCAGTGTAGACCAGCCATAATGGGTGGATATGGCAAATACAGTTACTTGTTGCTATATACAGAACATGCTTCTTCCAGTTGCTAGTGTCTCAGCAGATACCTGCACAAGTTGTAGCCTTTTTGCATGACCACACTGTCTCTGAATATTTATGTATGTCAGTAAATCAGTGCTCCTCAAAATAATTTCTTAATGTGTCATCCAATTTTAATTAAGCCTGACTGAAAGGAAAACATCTCAAAGATAGGAAGTCTCCAAACGTTTTGTGCAAAAAGGCACCAAGGGTAAAAAAATATTAAAAGATGAGAGGCCTTTTTGGCCTTCCCATGCCTTGGTGGAAAGGTTGCTGCATGCGAAAAACTCTTGTCAAACATCACAGAGTCCACTGGTAGGAAAGCTGTCAGAGGACTCATGGGGACAGTGGTGAGGCCAGCTTGGGCAGTGGCTTGCATGGCACTGCACACTGTAGTGTTGCCCCAGTGGCTTCCCCGTGGAGTCACCAGCCAGGAGCCCCCAGCCCAGCCCACCACAGGTCAGGAGAGGGGCATACCAGGCACCAACCCACTGGAAATGAGACTCCGTTGCTTCTGCAGTTGCATCCTTGCACATGCAAGTGCAACTTGCTAGTGAACACATCTCTGCCTCCCCTTTGCTCTCCTCTTGCTGGAGCTGCTCCAGGTTGAACCTTCATGCCTGCTCAGAGGTGCTCAGTTTTCGAGCCCTGTCTCAGCCCTGCCCCTCCAGTTTCAATCAGTAGCAATGTCTGGCAAGCAACAGGTAGAGATATGTGCTTAAAAGCCTGTCCTTATATCTTCCAGGTAAGCTTCATAATCTGTGCTTTTAATTCAGGAAAATTTAGGAGCCTGAACAGGCTGATAATGCCCCCCTGAGAAGAAATTAACAGAATAATACGGGATATATAGAAAAGACCACTTGTACTGCTGTAACTGGAAGTGAAGAAAGAAGCTACCAGCTCCCAAAGCAGCTAGGAAAACAGAAACATTTCATATTTCACATGACTTCAGAGCTAGGAAAAGGAGCAATTAAAGGGAGCCAACTAAGTAACCACAGTAGAAAAGTCAGAGAGTATAAAGAAAATTCGTCAAGGAGGAAGAAGGAGCTCAGAAAACACAGAAGCAGGTGAAAAGGGCAGTTTTAGATGTTAGATACAGCAAAGTATCTGAAAGAGGGACTAATGGCAAAGGTGAGGAAACTGAGGAAACTTCATTTCTGAAAAGTGAAGAGCCAGCAGGAACTGGAATGCCCCTATAATCCCTCTGACTGTAAGGGAGGAAAGGGTGACAAGCTGAAAGTGGAAATTAAAAAGAAATTTCAGGAAGAGAAAATTATTAATATTGGGATATTTCTTTATCTCCACATTTTCTCATTCCCACAGGGTAACTGGAGCAGGACAACTGCAAGCCCTGCCTTTGCTCACGCAGCCTGCCATCGCTCAGCCCTGAACATCTCAGACATGAGGAGAGAAGTCACAAGAGGTGAGAAGCATCCAAGCAAATGTCCTCCCAGAAGTTTTTAGACATGACAAATTAAAGCTCTGCATGAAAGGCCATGGAGAAAGGGTCAGAACTGAAGGATATTAAGCAAATGTTTAATTTCCTCCATAAATCCCACCTCTGTGCGAAGGGCTGACACAAAGCCTATGCACAACATTTTACCATCCAAGAGGTATTTTGCATCTGGAAGCAGGCTCTCCATGCACATCATGCTTTGCCCTTGGCACAGAGCAAGAAGGCTTGGGAAGGTGGCAGGCTGCCTGCATGGGAGAGCACCATTCAGCCTTCATGTTGGCAAAGCCCAGGGGGGGCATCAACCCTCTAAGAGGATACCAGTGAGCTGGGAAACACCAAGCCTAGAGGAGGAGGAGGACTTCATTCAGCCAGTCCATATCCCAGCGATATTGCTGTTGGATGCATCAAGTTCCAGCTGTATGTGTTGCAGATGAAAACGGCACAAGAGTATCTAGATTTGTTTCTGCTCAGAAGTTTCTTCCAGTAGACTAGAAAGATAATTAATTGTAGGAAGGCTGAAAGTAAGGGCATTGCTGATTTGTGCTGGGATGGCAGCCCTGTGAGCCTCACAGAAGAGCTGCATGTTGTAAAGCTGAAGAGTCACCCAGCAAATAGAATCACAGAATCATAGCTCTGCATTCTCCTGGTGACCAAGGGCACAGACACCAGTGTGTTTTTTTCTGCGAGAAGCAGGACATGAAGCCGTGGTGCTAGGTTGAACACAAGGCAGTGGTACTAAACTGTTATCTATGAATAAACTCCCACGGCTGTTTTTAATCCTTAGAGTCCTGATAGGTAAAGACATATAATTTTCCTTCATCAGACACAAAAATAAAGCACGGAACAACTTACCAATTTACCCACTAAACCCCTAACACTTGGTGGCAGATCTAGCAACAAAACAGAGATTTATCACATATTTCTGTTTCATGTGCTGCAGGCTTGAAATCAGAGAGAAGCCAAGATAACTTATATAAGTATTACTTATAAAAGCAGTTAAGAAAATGTACTTAGGTAAGGGAAATAAATACTTTAAAAAAGAGAAGAAGAAGGGAAACCATTACCTTCCCGAAGCAGAAGCGCCTGCTCCACTTTGCTGTTGGGTACAGCAAGATCCAGGGGACATTTGAGTTCAGCATTTCTGCATTTTGGGTTAGCACCATAGTCTGTCAACAAGACGACTACCTCCACGCTGGATTTTCTTGCTGCTGCGTGAAGGGGGGTGTCTAATAGCTTCCCCATGTTAACGTTGGCCCCTTGAGTGAACAAGAGTTCATGGTTAGATCTGGGAGGCAGCAGGAATGGCCCAAACCCACATCACACAGGCTGGTTTCCACTAGCAGCCTCAATAAATGAAGGGGATGGATGGCAGGCAGGTCTCCCTCATTTCTCTCAATAGCAGCAGTGCAAAACTCCACAGGTCAAATACCTGCTGTGTAAATATCCTCTGAGCCATCGAACCCTGTCTGCGATGGACAGAACTGAGCAGCTTGACCTTCAACCCATTAAATATTCAAAGCTTATTATATGCTCTGGTAATTTGTTAATAACATAAAGTCTGACATAGATTATGTTAATTCAATTACCGTGGGTAAAAAAAAAAAACCAAACCCTGTAGGTATCTTATTGTAATAACTCCAGGAGCACAGCAAGTGAAATACTTGCCCTGGGCTCACCAGGCACAGCAGGGCCACCCTTGGAGCAGGTGTAAGTCAGCTAATGTACACTGACAGCAAAAATTTATGCTGGCTCATAGGCTGTGCCTGGACCTGCAGTGATTACTCTTTCAAGCAGCTTTACTGCTGTCTTCATCATCCACTGAGAAGCAGGTGAAGTTAATGCTAAGCACGGCAGCTTATCATAATCAAGAGTTGATTTTGGTCACCAATATTAGCCAGCATTGTCTGCGCTTCCTCTCATCTTTCTAGAAAATGAAAGGTATTTTATTTTCATGTTCAGACAGTCTCAGGGAGGTCTCTGTCATTAGGGCTTTTTTTACTGTGGAAATCATAAATTCTTCATGAATGCAGGTAAAATTTTTAATAGCCTCATACGAATCTCACAGGCTTGGGCTGCCCAAATGCCTCTTGTGGAAAGAACCAAAGATGTTTGCAGTGGAGAGGCAGCCTAGAGAGTCTACCAGCGGTGGTCTACCACTCTACCAGCAGTGTGTGGCTCACGCCACCACAGCTCTCCCCCGGCCCCTTTTCCAGGTGTACCTAGCTCCAAAAGCTTCTTGACACAGTCTGTTCTCTGGTACATGCAAGCCACGTAGAGAGGGGTCCCGTGCTGCAGATCTTCTTGGTCAATGTCAACCTCATGGGCCAGAAGGACCTCCATGCACTCCCTGTGACCTGTGGAGAGAAGAAGGGCCATTGCTCAAGTGAATCAGAGTAGAATACACCCAAGTACAACCAAAGAGGCACAAGAGCTGGGAATAAGGCAAGCCTATTTATCCGTACCAGTATGGACAAGTTTAGGTTTGGCTTTTTTTTAATATTTTAACATCAATAGAAGGTGTATTCCTCAGTTATTGTTAGCTTCATTCACAGCCTGAACGTTACCTCTCTTGACTGCTTCATGAATGGGTGAGACGAGGTGGTTTCTGAGCTGTGGTTTGGCTCCAAATTCGAGCAGCATGTTGACACAGGCCACGCTGCCACTGCAGCAGGCGTTAAACAGAGGAGTGATCCCATCAATGGTGACTGCGTTGACCTGGAACAGCAAGACACGCTCAGGATAATCTGGTTTAAGAGGAACGCCCTTGTAGCATGCCTCATATGCACACCAGAAATGCACCAGAAAAAGGCACTTGTCTCGTTTAATTTCAGAATTGATTTTGTTAACAACTCTCAGCATTACATGTGTGGCACAATATACATAACATTCTCCTTTGAGGTTTGTCCTCTTTCCCAGATAGCTAGTGCCATAAGGCAGTGAACACTGCCTGTTATGAATACTCCTCTTAGAGTTACTGACAAAATGCAGATTTTATTTTTGTTTTTTATGCGGAGAACTTGAGTATCTTCATGACTGCGTAGTTTGCACCAATCCAAAGCCAGATTACATTTAGATGAAAATGGCTTTGCTTTTTAAATGAAACCATTTACCTGAATACTTTCACCTAAAAATACATTTCCAGTAAAAGAAATTTTCAGGGAAACATAGTCTTAATCCCGAACAGAAAAGGATCTTGAAAGAGTTTGTGTTTGTATGTATACGTGTGTGTGTAAGAGAGAAAGAATTTCCTTCCTCCACCTCCAATATAAAAACCTGGCAAGAACCACCGTTCGTCATTCTCCTCTGGGACAGCACAGTCCCTGTTTTGTGTTGTGCACAGCACCATGGCTGCTACATTTAACTGTGCTGCAAGCCCTCAGAGGCAATGCATGCCTTTAATTCTGTGGCACACTGGAGAAGAGCAATGGATTAGGCAAGCGCATGGCAATTTGTGCAGTTTCCAAATCAGGGAGAAGAGGAAAGAGATGGGAGAGGAAGGGGTGGAGAAGTCTCTGGCTCACACAATTTAACTAGTGAGATATTTTGCTTTTAAAGCAGACAAAGAAAGTGATGTTCAAGAACCTATTGATTTATTCTGGGCAATTCAGCAGTGGACCATCTGCAGTTGATACCTTCCTAGATATCATTTGTCCTTGTTTAGTCTTCAAGGCCAAATTGGATGGGGCTTTGAGCAACCTGGTCTGGTGGGAGGTGTCCCTGCTCGTGGCAGGGGGGTTGGAACTCGATGATCTTTAAGGTTCCTTCCAACTCTAACCATTCTATGATTCTATGATTTGACTTGTTTACGATGCTGTACGAGTTAATTCCTTTTCTCACGAGGTGCTTTTCCCACACTTACAAGCCAGTCCTTGCTATCTCCAGTGTTTCACTCCCCTACGTGAAGCTGTGCTTGCAGATTAGGCAGGTACACTGGAAGAGGCAGCCCCTACTCCTTGGTGCCTTCTCTGCTTGCTCACCTTCACGAAAAACCAGTGAGGGAAACGGACTTGGCTGGAAAAGAATCATGACAGGACCAGTAGGCAGGGAAGCCAGCACGGTCTGGGGAAATACTAGGTACCACAGCACTGGGGACATCTGTCTGCTCAGGTTTTCGAGTCCAAAATGCAGCTTCCTCTTCCTGAAATTGCAAGGCTCCAACTAAGATTCTGTTTCAACAGCACCATCGCTACAGTTCCCAGCCTCTTCCTTGATCTTCCTCCCCTCCTGCTAAATGCTGAGCTAAAGTATCTCTCAACCTGCACTGCTTCTAAAACAGAAAAAAAATAAAATAAAATAAAATAAATAGAGATGCCTTGGGAGTATCTGTATTTCAGACAGATTACATGCTGCAGCCCTGCAGCCCAGCACTACCCCCAGCCTCCCCCAGTCTCATCGGGCAGATGTGGCTGGAGCTGCTGGAGGCATCAGCATCATTTCACAACCGGGCCAGTGATTCAGGCAAGCTGACAACCAAGGGTAAGCAAGGAGACAACGGAAGAAGAAAAATGACTTCTTTGGTTTCCCTCTCCACTGGGCATTGGTTTAACTGGTAAAAGAGGAAAGAATTGCAAGACAGCTGTTGTGAAGTAAATGGTTTGGTAAAAAAAGGAAATACAGAAGAGCACAGCAATAAAAGAGAGCAGCAGAGTGGCACATTTTCTCCCACAAGTTAGACAACAGCCTGTTGACTTTATTTATGAACAGAAAGTGGAGAGAAAGCAAAAACAAAAAAACATCGGAGCTATATATTATACCAGGAATAGACTGATTTCTTAGGAAAGCAACAAGTAATTCAGAGATGATTCTCTGAGTTAATAGAAAGGCAATACCATTAACATACAAAATCAAGTAAAAATCAAGTAAAAACTTGATCAAGAAATCAAGAAAAAAAATCAAGTAAAACTGAGCAAAAAGGACTTCTTTTCATCTTTCTAAGGGATTTAAATTTGGCATACAGTTTAAGAAGTTAACAGAAGCTTTTTCTTCTGCAGAGGAGAGCCTGACTGCTAGTTTTGATGTTGCTCAGTTTCTTACCATATAAAACGTACTTGAAAACCCAACTGAATAAAATACATTCTTATATGTTTCATCTATTCCTGTGTTTCCATTTTTAACATGTATTGTACCTTAGGTCCTGCTGGAGTAAAATGTTCTTTTATTAGGATATAAAATGTTTCATTGCTTTAAGCACATCCATTTTTACTTATGTGAGACTCCCAAACTGTGCTACAGAAAGCCAAAGGCAATTCCAGTGATTGTTGGGGGAGGGTAGGGGGGAGGAGAAGAGATATGATTTTGTTCAAAATTCCTTTCACCTAGCATCTCTCGTTCCTTTTCGTGACTACATTGCACATACAGAGGGAAAACAAAACTAAATTACAGGGCCACCCAAGCAGCCACTGAGGGAAGGCAAATCCATCACCCATGGAAAGAAAGCACAGTTTTATTTCTGCCCAAGGTGTTCCTGGCCATCCGCATCCTGGCTCAGCCACTCATGCAGCCCATCCAACTTCCCCGCTGATGCAGGGACCATCCAGGCACCCACGTCCCCACCAGCATCCCCAGGACTCACCTGAGCACCGTTCTCCAGCAGCACCTTTGCGCAGGCGACATGGCCACCCAGGCAGGCCTCGTGGAGAGCCGACACACGGTCTGTTGTCACCAGGTTCACGTTGAAACCCTGCAACGTGGGATGGGAGGGCATGAGGGGAAAGCCCTGCCCAAACCACACGGCTCCCCCAGGACAGGGGACGGACTTGAAAGGCTGAGGGACTTGGGTCTTTTTAGTCTTGAGAAGAGAAGACTTAGGGGGGATCTAATCAATGCTTCCAAATACTTAAAGGGAGGCTGTCAGGAGGACAGGGCTGGTCTTTTTTCAGTGATGCCCAGGGACAGGACAAGAGGAAATGGGCACAAACTTGAGTATAAGAAGTTCCACCTAAATGTGAGGAGGAACTTCTTTTCTGTGGTAGCGGTAGAGCACTGGAACAAGCTGCCCAGAGAGGTGGTGGAGTCTCCTTCTCTGAAGACATTCAAAACCCACTTGGACAAGTTCCTGTGCAACCTGCTCTAGCTGGACCGGCTTTGGCAGGGGGATTGGACCAGATGATCTCCAGAGGTCCCTTCCAACCCCATATGATTCTATGATTCTGTGACGGGTGGGGGAGAGTCACGCCACTGGATGCATGTCCAGGGGAGGTCACAGGTTGGGTTAATGCTGTGCAGTGCTGTGGTTCTTGTCCCTAAGGACAGCAGCTGGCAATGGGGTTAAAGAAGAAGAAAGGAAAAACTATACCTACTATTTCTAGTTCTTTACAATATATGTTTCTTTAACTTATAAGGGTGATGTTAACTTCCTTATTAACTCCAGCACCAGGAGCTACAGCTGGTGGGATTCACCTCCCTGAATGGGGATGCCTCTGACAGGTATCAGCAGCTCAGCTGGAGCCCTTGGCCCCTTCAGTGGAGAAAAACCACGCACCCTTAGGATATGATTCATCCCATGCTAAAGCAGCTGTTTCTAGTATGTCACATGATTTGTGTCCTAAAAACACTTCCACTGAATATATGGAGTGCCCAGTGTGTTTGACTCAGAGGTCTAAGTACCTGGTAGACCCATAAAATCGATGAGATAAATCCTACCCATTAAGCTGTTCCTCTTAAATAAGGAAGCTTAAGTTCCTCTTAAATAAGGACCACCCAGGAAACATTTTACACTGGAAGAAAGAACTATGATTTACGATTGCCTCATCACAGGTATTTTTCTAAATGACAGTTCTTACATCTATTCCTGTGCAAACAGAAACCAACATATTCACAAAGGAGAAAGCAATTCTCAGATGGGTTTTCTCCAGAATGAATCTAAATCTCCTAGTAAGTACGATTTTACAGCCACGTGTGAGAACAGGCCTGGAAGCGGCTCCATTTCTCCACTTTCCTCCTTTTTCCACTTTATGTCTTGTATTTTGTAACACAGTTGTTCTCCACCTGACGTGCCATAAACTCGGCAGCTCACAAGATGGCAGCAACGCACTTTTTGGGAGGCAGTAGCAAATGAGATGGGCAGAAGTGATCTGTGAGCAATGTAACACTGTAAAAGTCACCAGTCCCCATGCAGGGAGCATTAAAAGCAATCACTGTAAGACAGAAATTCGATGATAGAAAAACAATTGTTTTTCAGTTACATGAAAGCACTATTAATGTAAAAGCTGTCGCAAAAAGTTTCCCATACGTTACATCAGTGCCAGGGAAACAGATAAAACTTTGAAAAAATGTTGACATTATTCCATTTTCTAATTGTATAGACTTTTTGTACTTAATGATCAGCATATTGCTTTAAGAGGAATGTCTTCTAGATAGTCCAAATAAGAAGAGGAGAGCTATTCTAAATCATTATTCAGATATATATTTTAAAAATGAAATGCAGTCATTGCTAGTAAAAGAATAAGTATTGATATCTTGGGCAAAACAGCAATCTCTTCCATTATGAAATGGAGATCGAGTTATAGATTTTACTATAGTTGTTTGCCAAACACTGCTTGTTTTCAGATGGCTATAAACTCTTCCCTTTCCCATTGTATCAGAAAAATTAAACTCTTCTTACTCTTCTTTTAGTGCTGGAGCAGGCCTTGGCAAGCTCCTGAGCTCTTTTAAAACCCCAGCGCTCCTTCGTCTCCTTATGTCCAGGCATCCTCCAGGTAGCAGAAGCCTCACTGGCTTTCTTGAAAGCTGTGGTCCTCCGGCAGAGAATTCTGAGTGTCCCAATTATAGGCTACAGTATATCTCCATATTTGATTTTAGGCTACTAGTTTAAGTATATTAGAAGCAATGAGCAGTGATTATGCTGCTCCATGAGCAGCTTCATCCCGACATTTATCAAGCTGTGGTGAATGAACTCCAATTCACTCCCTACAGGCATTGCTGCCTTGATCTGTTTTCATCAGCAAGGACTCTTATCCCTCACTCCCAAAATTAAATGTCTTTGGGAAAAGGAGAAAGGGTGAATGTATTAAATGATGCATAACCATAACACCAGTCTTCTCTAGTATTTAACCACGCCAAGTGTATAACCAGGGCACCTAGTGTGTAACCACAGCACTGGGTGCCCCTCAATAATAAGATGGTGGAAGATCAGCACAAATGGAGATAGAGGGGGTCAGAAAACCAGCAAAGCCCTGAATGAATAAGCCCTCTCCCTTATTATCTCTAACCTCCATCATGTCCTTTTCCAGAAAATCATTTGATATCTGAGAGTAAAGGAAAGAGGGATCAGGAAATGGGAGGAGGGAAACTGGCTGTAAACAGCAACCTCTTTTAGCTCCTGCCACTCCTCAACAGATGTCTGGGATGAAGGCTTTTACACTGGCAGCTCTGCTCCTTGAGGACATTGTCCATTTGAGCTGTGGCCTCACTGGTAAAAAATATTTAGCTTGAATATAAAAACCCTGGTGGCCGATTCACAGAGTTTACACCCAGGGAATTAATTTCCCTGCGGGAAGGGGGGATGGGGTGGGGAGGAAAGGGGGGCAGTTGCCCATTCGTGCCACATGAGGGCATTGAGTTTAAGCAAATGTGGTAAGGAAGAGGGTTGGCAAAGCATGAAGAACCATAATCTGTCCCTTTGCAGCTGCCCACTTTCATATCCAGCTTCTTGCCCTTTCCAGTATATTCTTTTCTCCTCTCTTTTCTTTTGCCTGAAAGCCTTGGTTTCATTGGGAGCAGAGGGTTTCAGGCTGACAGCTCTCTCTGTCGTGCTTGCATTCATGACCATGCTTGCTGTTTTATAAAGTAAGATATATTTTTACAGATTTCTACCCAGCTAATAGATATATATATATATATAGTCCTTATTCTCAAGCCCAGTTTGCATGACTTACCATTGAGAGAGAGACCAAGGGTCATTATTTATCATATAGCAAGCTACAAGCTGTAGCAGTCTTTGTTTTGAGTTTGTCCCCAGCATCCTAACTAAACAAACTAATACCTGCCCAACGGTGTGCATAGAGGTATCATTTGTACAACTATATTTCATATGGCCCGCTGGAGTCTACCACCAGCTCACCAACTTACAGATGCAATTCAACAGAAACTATGCTGCTTGCCCAACCTTGTCTTTACCTGTGGGCTTTTACCTGGGCAATCAAGGTTTTCAAAGAGAGGAGGCGTCCTTGGAAGGCAGCCTCATGGAGAGGGGATCGGTCTGCCCAGCTGCCTGAAAGAGCAAACGCATGAAAGTTAATCCAGGTAAGCAACACAAGCAGATCCTGAGAGGACAGGGGAAAAATGTAAATGCAGATCAGGACTGGAATCAATGCAAGGTCAGCAGTGAAACCGTTTGATAAATTGATTTCAGCAGAGCAGCTGAGGGCTCAGCACTCCTGAGAAAACCAGCCACTCGCTAAGGGACCTAAACAGAAGCTTCTTGGCAGAACTTTTAAAAACAGTTAAAAACATGCTTCAATAAAGACCACAAGTTTAGTGCTGCTGGGATTCACACAGGGGCTTCAGAGCCCTGCAGTTCTCCTATTCAAAATCATATCAGCCTCTGTCTTTCCTAAGGAGCTTTTGTCATGAATCGTATTCCAGCTTCTTTTGCACTTCATTAAGAAACTCAAAGCAGGGAGACATGGGGATGACTTGTCCATCAAATGAATTCTGGCATGTACCTGGCAGTTTTATTTCCTGAACTGACAATTTCATAAATAACATCCTCCAGCTCAGACTAGCAGGTAACAGCTTTCACCCTCCTCCTCACTGGAAGGTTTCAGAAAAGACATGGAAAAATAAATTCTGCCTGAGGCTTTACTTTTCTTCCTTAATAATTTTGAGTTGTTGAACTGTTCAGGCTCCTTCATGTATGCTATTTTGCCCTTTTTCTTATCTTAATCTATTCATGTGCTGAGAAAAAGTAGCCTAGCTACTACCAACAAGCATAGTCTGTCAGCCCAGGTTAAATCCCTGCAACTCAAGTGGAGAGCAAATTTACTTGTCCTATATTAAAATTTATAACCATACCATGACACAGTGTGTAGTAAGTATTTCTCCAAAGGCCAGCTGCGTTCACAGTGCCACAGGACAGAAGCAATACCAGTGTTTGCATTCATGCTCTGTTGTACAGCAACCCCATGAGCACTGTATTTGAAACCCTTGTCCTGTTTAATTTTTTCAGCTATGCTGCACACCAGAGAGAATGGAAAGGGTGATTTATCTCCATTTCAGGTGTTACCCGAGGCAAAGAGAAATCAATGAGAGGCACAGACACATCCCTGAGGACTTCAGGCCAAGGACACAGCAGAGGTTTCAGCCTTGGCCAAGGGAGTCTCCTTTCATTACTGAAAAACTGGGATGAACTTGAGCTAATGGGATTATGGTATTAACTATAGTTAATGACATTTTTTCCTGTTTATTTAAGAAACTGTTCCTGGGAGCCTGAGGCAAAAAGCTGTCATGGAAAGACCAGCCTGCACAGTATGTGACCAGGCTCCTAAGAACCAAGTAGGATGCACCAGCCAAAATGATGGAAACAGGAACCAAGGAGGTACCAAGAAACATTTTCCTGAAAACATCCAAAAATCCCACATCCCTCGTCATGCTGTTGGCTGAAATAGGCGGGCTCAGTTCAAAAGTCAGAAGACAGTGCAAGCGACAAAACCCAGGGCCCTTATACAGCAGGAAGATTCAGAAGTAACTCAGGCAATAGAGCCACACTGCCTTCTTTAGCCTCTTATGCATACAGTATATAGCATGTGTAAGCACACGTCACATGCATTTACAATGTGTGTATACACACACACACACGCCTCACCATGAAAACACACGCTGCTGTGCATTTCCACGCCAGCCACAGCAACCTACCTCCCTGGAACGTGTGGCAAATATAGTTCCCATACAGGGCACATCTTCCCTTCACTGCTGCAAGCGACATCTCTGAAAACACTGCGTCTTTTGAAAATTTCTACAGATAAATCAAGCAGCCGAGCTGCTGCTGCTGCTGCTGCCACACCACTTCACTGCAAAGAGAGGCGGCCGGGGAGCTCCCTCTGTAATCCAATATAGTGCCCCACCACATGACCTCATGTTTTGAAAGATTATCCTTAATGGCTTTTTGCAAATGGCAACTTGCAGATAAAAAATATGTTGTACTCTGCTAAACTTCCAGGCAATCCAATAAAAACCTCGGTGAAGGAAAACCTGCTGTTTGCTACGCGTCTGACTACAAGGGCATGAAGGCACTTGGAAAAGAAATGGCAGTAACAAATGATTTGAATTATATTCTGGAGAATATAAAATAAATTAATAAACCAGAAAGAGACATGCCTGTATATATATGCTTTATAAGAAATCCTTTGCTGCGGTATTTCTCTTGGCCAGATCTTAATAACCCTGTTTTGGGTGGCCATCTCGCACCACCCGTGTTCTGCTCACGTTGGTGAGCCTGTTCGTGATGGCACTATTCATCATGAAGCAAGTGCCCAGCAAATGAGTCACATAAAAATCTCTGATGTCACAAGGTTGATACGAATCTTCAAGCAGAAAAATACATTCTCATTAGTGGTAAACTTAAAACACTGTGTCATTTTAATTAGTGGAATTACCGGGCATGCAAATGCCTGTCTATTCATTATTATGGCAGTGGTACGAAGGAGTAAAATCACTTGGGGAAGAAAAAAAAAAAAAAATTACCTACTAAATACAATAGATTTCCATGCTGCATATTTTTCAGAATAATTTTAGCTGTATTCATTTTTATCGTCTGATTTAACAAAACAGGGATTCTTGGCTTGGATTCATAAAGTCATTAGTTATATTCTCCTTGTATCTTCTTTCAGAAAATCAACATGCTAAAACTTTTCCCTTAATATTCTCTGGCAATAAAACTAGCTATTTAGTAAAACCGTCTGTAACCCCCGCTAAAGAATGCCTTGCTTCCGAGAACAATCTTATTATTTACTGTAGTGCCCTCAGCAAATGTTCTCTTCATTCTATCTGGGTAATTGTTGGAGTCTCATATTTTGCACACCTCAATCATGCCAACACTTAATGACACCTCAAAGACCTCAGAAACGGAAGGCACTTCAGGTTAAAATATTCACCCATGCATTTAGCAACAGATTCTTCATTTCATGGAAACTCAGTGCTTTAAATCCTCAAGTTACAAAAATGTAGCAAATGTACATTTGAATGTTAGAGTGTCCATATTTTTACTTTACCTGGGACTATTCCATAGATCTCTTCTGCTATCCTGGCAGCCTCTTTTCTGTTGCCTTTAACAATATAGAAATGGGTCAGCAGAGCCAAGGAAATCTTGATTAAAAGCTTGAAGCAAAACAAAGCAAAAATAGCAAAATAAATGTTAGTGAAAGCATGGAGTATCGAACCGCCCTCCATTTTGGTTTGCTCTTTGAATAGTTTCTCAGGTCGGCTGAGCTGCACCGGGCTATTCTTGGTATCGTATGTCGTCTATTTTAAACCCTCCAGAACCTGCTGTTCCTCAGCTACCAAAAATACATTCTGCTTTTATTTGGTATGGGCTATTTGATACTAAATAACAATACCAAGGACAAGGTGGTTTGAACATCCCATGCCATACAGGAAACAAACAAAATTCTTTGCAAACCCACATGAATATAGATATTAAAATAAATTTTCAGACAGGAGCTCTCCACACCACATGAAAGCCTATGCATCCACATTGTTCTCACTCTTTGATGTAGCAGTTTCATTTACAAAGGCTGCATAGGTAAAGTTGCAGAAATTGTTCAGAGATACTGCAGGAAGAATACCTTTCTGGTAACAGGCCTTGCTGTACTCAGGCACAGAACAAAGGCAAGCATATCAAAGAAAAGCATTATAATGAAAGAATCTGAAATAAACCCACATATTTTCAAAGCCAGGGCTGAGAAGTCAAAGTTATTCCAGGAGAGGGAAAAAAAGGTATTGAAAGTGTGTAATCAAAACCACATGATAATATACTGGTATTTTCCATCCTTCAGGGATAAAGAATGGTGTCCATTAAAGTCCCCTGCAACCAGCATCTTATTGTTTTAAAATAATGGAAATATTTTTACATTATCCATCATTGATTCAAAGGTGTAATATCTGAAACTAAAGACGATGCACCCTTTCTTTAACTGCCTTTTATTTTTTCTGAAGGCACATGGCTTCCATAGAGAAGAGAGTATTTTGCATGAAATTAATTGAATCTATGTAGAACACCCCATTTCCTTTTCATCTAAACTTTTCTTGATTCTTATTTTCCTGTATGCACAGCAGGAGGGAGATTTATTTCTTCAAATCCCCTCCTTGCCCAGGTTCTCTTACCCTTCAATTTGCACACCTGTCAAAGGAAAGAGAAGAATGACTCTCCTCTCTTGGAGATCCCAAAGAGATGGTGGATATGCAGAAGGGAATTTTACAGCACAATATTTCCCTGGGCATTTTAGGTGCAATTTGTTTTGTTTTGCAGCAATACAGCTGGCTTAGTACTGTGCTGTCTTCAGCACTCTGCCCTCCCAGGTGCACTTGAATTCTATATAAAATACATGCAGACAGATTGAATAAAACACCCCAAGCTATTTTTTTCATTTTTCAAGGGAACCAATTTTTCTAAAATTCTGAATTAAACCAAGATATTACCTTTTTACCAATAGCTTAACACGTTACATAAGTATCACATATACCCTTCCTTCCAAAGCAATATATTTGTGGAATCTATAATGCCTATGGATCCAAAAGAGGAAGATTGCCTAATTTTAGTCACTTTAATACTGTTTGCTACAGGACAAGACAGCTGAAGACACAGATTATATTGCAAAAGTTTAGATAGGGAATTGGAGAAAAACAGTTAAGTTTGTTCAAATGGGAAACAAAAAAGAAGAAATTAGCAAACAAAGGTGGACCAAAAAAAAAAAAATATCACTTTAGCCCTGGAAAAATTATAAGATAGTGAAAAAACTAATCCTGAAGCCAGAGGAATCACAAAAGGTATAAAGCACAGAGTACAAGATGCAGAGAAAAAGAACAAAAAGTAAAAAATCATTACAAACAAAAGGACAGTTTAAATGATGGAGAAATCTTTGTCATGTAAGATACACAAAACTGGTGCTCAGTAGGAAGTAAGCAAGAAGAAACAGCACCTTTTAAGAGAAAGACCACAAAACAGACATTTGCTTGCAAAGGAGATGCATTGATCTTTTTTCAGCATCAGCCTACCAGGTAGCAGCTAGAACTGGACAAGTCCACAACCCTCAGAAGAATACAAGAAACTGGAGACGGATGATTTCCACTTAAATTCTCTTATCCTCAAAGGTGAGTGAAACTCTAATAATAATGAAAATCTTTCCAGGTAGTCTAAAAAGCCATGAGGGAGTTTCACCACTTGGAAGCAGTCACAGGACTCTTCCAGAAGAATAAGCTCCATTTGCATAGTAGCAAAATCACCTTCTCCTGGCTTCACATCAAGGAACTAAAGATTTTCAGTTAAATGATGGAGTCATTTGAGAAAAGCTTATGGAATCTCTTAATCTGCTTTTAATGTACAAGAACACTAGGAAAAGGACTGCAGTAGGAATACAGCTGAACAGCGTGGTGAGATGTATTAATCCCGGTGAAGGTGGTAGTCAGGTAAGCCGTGGTGTGATCACTTGGAAACGTCTGGTATTTCTGAGACTACAGAAAGGTGAGCGACATAACGTAGTCACGAGAACAGATATAAAACAATGGAACAGCAACAGCAATGCAGAAACAGGAATCTCATCTTTCCTCCCTTGCTGTTTTGGGCAGCGTTGAGTTGAATGGGATGGATTCTGAAACTTCATCGACAGACCGGAGGGAACGAGTCAGCCCTCTGTAGAAAAACAGGCCTTATTGAGAACTTGGGCAGGATGCCCAAACTGCTCCATGAATCACTCTATTAATCTATCACTAAACTGTCAAATCAAGGTATCCAGAAAATATATTAACCCTTCAATAAAATTGACATGAGATGGTGAATGAATAGAAGTAGTTTAGCTAGATCCTGCAAAGAACTGGAGAGCTAATGTTTATATATCCTTAGTTTACAAACATGCAAGGAACAAGCACAAAAGAAAAGAAAAATCTACTTTTCACTATGGTTCACCTTAACTAGTCAACAGTGAGAAATGTCAGATGGGATCTGAAGAATTCGGGAAGGAAATAAAGATTAGAGGGAACCTCTTCTCAAAGAAATTAAAAGAGGTATTGGCCTATTCTCATGCAAGACACTCTTTGAATTCCAGCAGTGTTTTTCTAATGTATAAAGTTAAGGGTTTGAATATCAAATATATTAAATCAAAGTAAGACAACTAGGTTAGAAAAGGAGTCAGACACCCTCGATCTCGAAGGGAGGAGATCAGAACAAAGACACGCAGAGAGCCTGGCTATTCTTTTCTACCAGTTTGATCTAATAAATGACACCACTTCGCATACAAGCCTTCCCTCATTTGCATCCTTAGGTCAGCACAGTTACAACACTCCTGCTTTTAAAAAGGGATGTATACGGTGACTCACTGCTTGCTCTCACACGAGCAGACGTGGGATTCATCTCACCTATCCACCACCCATCACACCACTGAAGGTCCGGTTACCTAAACTCCTGCTGCTGCCAGGGCAGGTGGATGGCAAGTTCCAGCAGGCAATTAGAGTCATAGAATGGTCTAGGTTGGAAGGGACCTTTAAGATCATCTAGTCCAACCATCAACCTAACTAATAAAAAATCATCACTAAACAATGTCTCTAAGCACTATGTCAACCCGTCTTTTAAATACCTCCAGGGATGGTGCCTCAACCACTTCCCTGGGCAGCCCATTCCAATGCGCGATAACCCTTTCAGTGTAAAAATTGTTCCTAATATCCAATCTGAACCTCCCCTGGTGCAACTTGAGGCCATTTCCTCTTGCCCTATTGCCTGTGACTTGGGAGACGAGACCGACCCCCACTTCTCTACAATCTCCTTTCATGTAGTTGTAGAGTGATAAGGTCTCCCCTCAGCCTCCTTTTCTCCAGACTGAACAACCCCAGCTCCCTCAGCCGCTCCTCATAAGACTTCATCTCCAGACCCCTCACCAGCTTCGTTGGCCTTCTCTGGACCGACTGCAGCACCTCAATGGTGCTGGAGCACCTTCTTTAGATGCATACTGTTGCTCAATCCTGACCATACAACCAGCTTAAAGAACTAGCCTGTACTAGACAACCCGCTTCTGCATGGTTAAAATTCAGTGAATCCCACACACAAATATCATCTCCAGAAGCTACACCAGTGTTGAAGCAAGTAAGAACCTGAAAACAATCCAATCTACCTGTTAAGTCCACAAGAAGAATGCATCATTTCAGTACAACACTAAATTCAGACGTATAACCGCATCTTGCCTTAGGTTTTTTCCCTTAACAAAAAATACTCACCTTTTATCTGACTATGTCAATGTTAAAGTAATAAGGAAAAGCTGTGGAAGTCAACGTACGACTGAATATCACAAGACATGTACAGCAAATATGAGGTTAGTTTAATGATAGAAAATAAAATGTTAAGATATTTGAATACTTTTTAATTTAAAATAAGTTTATAGAATCATTTTCTTTTGAGATTGATTGTTCTAGTCTCTATTTACACAGTCTGTATTTTATTGAAATGATCAAAAAGATGTAATTTTACAATTATTTGTTTATAAGCCTAAGCATATGTGGGAAAAAAAAAGGACTAGCAAAGAGAAATAAGTATCAAAAGGGGAAAAATAAGTTTATTTTGAAAAGATGCAGAAAAACGTGACCACAAAAATAAGTACATTACAGTGTATTTACCTTCTTACAGATCTATCCACACCCTCTAAAACATAATCTGAAAGGCAAATCTGACATTCATACCTTACTCAATACTTGTTCTGGTTTAACACGCCATTTTCAATTGTCAACACACCTTAATTCACAGTGTCTGCATATAATTTATTGGAAACACAATTTTTTCTTGTGCCTGTGGGATGGAATTTCATTGGAGATCAGTGTTCCCTCCTGTGAAAGGGGGTGACCGTCCGTTTAGAAGCTTTTTGGGTGTTCCCTCCTCCTCCACACAGGAGGGTCTGCTCTATACAAGGCATTACTCAGTTGGTATCACTCCCCATTTCCTTAGTATTTCACAATGATCAAATGTTACCTGCAAGTACAACTGTTAACAATTTAGATTTTTAAAAATAGTTATTTAATTCATTTCTAAATACATATTCCTAAAATACACTCATTAGCTCTGCTCATTTTTTTTTATTATTGTGATTATTTTATTTAAACATTTCTATGTCACCCACTGATGCTTTTCAAAACGGTGAATGATTCCATGACATCATCCTTTACACCTCTGCTCACGGCAGGCAGGTGAACCAGTGCTGTGAAGAGTTATGTGCAATACAAGCTGCATGACCTGAGAAACAACGTATTTGCAATTAAACCGGTTATGGATTAAATTTTTGTGGCAGCTTGTGCAGAATGTTTTTGAACCGTCAGCTTTTTCATAAGAAGCCCAACCACCAGTGATGGGAGGCAGCAGGATGAAGTGTATTTCTGTATTTTCTAATTGCACGTTCCCACATACTGATGAAAAATATCCATAAACAATACATTTTTCTTGTAAATAAAATTATAACAAGGTTTTATTATGTTATTCGTGAGTACACAATGTGCCACAAAGGAAGAGAGAGAAGTATTTAAAATAGTTTCTCACACTCCTGTTGAAAATTTTATTTGTGTTTGTAGATTATGCAAGAAACCAAAAAGAAAGAAACCAGAATCCACAAAACAGTGTTAAAAATACATATATATATATAACATTTCCCTGGAATGGTAATCACTATTTTTAAAAAGTTGTTATAAACTTGAATGTTATTTTTAAAAAAAATAAACTTTGAAAAGTAAAATGTTACTGTAACTCCACTCATTTATCCATGATCTGCGTGGCACCATTTCAGCTGACCTCCACTTTTAATGTAGAGTTTGAAAAATTCAAATTGTAATACAATGCATATTGTATGTTACATATCAAAGGCTAAAAATTCTAGTAAAAGAAAATAGACTTTGTATATGGCGTTTATTTCGTATTACCTTTCTGTGTTTCATGAAAATATGTTCAATGAAATTATAAAATGTCACTGTTAGGGCAACTACATCTCTACACAAACAAGATGATATTGACAGAAATTGTATTTTAAATACTGCCCTTCAAGGGTTTGAAAACAGTATTTTCATATTGCACAGTTTTAATATTAATACAGTGTCCAACACTACATAATACTCGTAAGATTTTAATGTTCAGTGATGCTTGAAAAAGAAATTAAACCAGTGCATTAGGCGGGGGGGGGATTAGAGGTGGTCAACATGAATAAGAAAAATGCTTCCACTCACACATCACACATTCCTTTCTTCTCCAGGAAAAGCATATCTATTGGTTGCTTCCATTTAAGAGATACCTTCCCAAGATTTCACTTGCAGAACCTGTCTGACAGTGGTCTAGGTGAAATCTCGCGCACTAAACACTGTCCCTCCAAGAGATGGACAGAAATGCCATTTTGGTCATAAGTAAGAGGAAGGAAAAATATTTTAAAAAGAAAAAAAAAATAAAAATAAGGGGAGGTCTGGGGATGTGGGGTATGAGGGGAGAGAAAGAGAGAGAGAGAGAGAGATGGTGCTTGTTAAGCCCTTCACAGATCACTCTCTCTCTCTCTCTCTCTCACACGTGTACACACAGGTGTGACTTCACACTTTGGCATAGTCTGCTGGAGGAGTTTTCAGGCCTGAGCTGTTTCTGAAGGCTATATTATCTCTAAAGAATATAATTTCTTCCCCTATGTACTTTAAAAATACCAAAACACCCCTATAAGCTTTACGTCACTCACACATGTAGGTGAACAGGACAAATTTAGCACCTCTGAAAATATCAAAAATTCATTAAGGAGTTTTGATGTAGCAACAGAATGATCCAATTTTGACTATGGAAGAACTTCAAAATAATAATGTTATGCAGGCAAAACACTCACTGGGACACAACTGCTAGAACCAAGTCTCCATGGTAATGGATTTCACGAGTAATTTCAAGTGCCATTTTCATTTTAGGAGAGAAAAGGCAAGTTTTGTTGTGTTTTTTGTTAAGTATTTTTAAATACGACTCAAAATTAAAATCACTGTAAATATCAGGAATTAGCAGGGACTAGTGTAAACTAATAATTTTTGTGATTTGCTTTCCCAAATGGCACTAAAGTTTACAGTCACTTTCTGTAATATTCAAGTAGTTGAGAAAAATGTTGGATTTTTGTTTCAAAGGCTTCTAACACATATAAAACCCCATGTTCTCCTCCCAGCTTTAAGTGCAAAAGAGATGTTCATAAATTTGCACGAATCCAGAACTAAATTAAAACATAATCCTAAATTGAGGTAGCACATTTTGACCATGTTTCTTTCCAAGAACTTCAGAAAGAAACTGAAGAATTTTAAGTGTAAAGTCTCTATCAGCAAGCATTAAAACCTTTAGCGACCGATGTGTTCTTTCCTCTCCATTTGAGCATTTTTGGAGCCTGGAGGTTGTTCTTTAACTCTTCCTTTTTTCCCCAAAAAATACTGTTTAGTCCATGCGCTTTTAGGTCCTGTGGCATCTATGGCAACATCAATAATGTTATCTGGAGTCATCCACCTCAGAAACGTCAAGAAAAGGAAGTTCAGAACAGCAAAAAGAGCAAAAATACAGCCAGTCACTGGGCCACAGTGAGACATTAATCTGTCAAGTCGCTCATCCATTGGTAAAACCATTTCATCTGCAACCCTGTCATACACCTGTAGGGAGAAGAGACAGAAAGTAAGAAGCAACATTGTTTTAAGATCTCCTTCAAAAATCAGGCAGTACTTGGCTGTCAGTGTGCAAAATAAATTATCTATTCCTAACTACTAGAAGGGAAAAATAGTACCCCCAAAATTTGCAGATTTGAAATGTTGATTTATGAGTACTGTTCTAGAAATTTCAGTAATTTATTTAAGGAGAAAAAAGAAAGGAAATGTCCTATTTTTCTGACAGACCTCAAGAGTATTCCATTGAATAGGTAGGCTGAATAATTTGTTTCTTGTGCAATATTATACAGAGAAAGTTGGGGGTTTTTTAATTAATTGAATGGATTCTAATCTCATATTCACAGCAGTCATAGGAAAAGAATCTGACTATGCAATTACTAGATTTTCAACACAAAGATGGATGAACTCATAGATGAGTCAGCAATCTTCCAAATCTCTGTATTTGAACAATCAAGCAAATCATAACAGGATACTGATTTTTATTTAAAGAAACACTAGTAATTCTTAGTAGAATCTTAAAATACAATGAATGTGAAAATACACGCTACTAGTGACTTAATATACATATTAACTACAACCACTAAAAAACCAAAATAAGAAAAAGCATATAGTCCTGTGTTTCACAGAACAGAAACATAAATACCCAACACACACAACTCAAAAAAGGCTTAAAGTATACAGAGTTTTTTCCTTGGGAACATTACACACTTCATCCCACGGGCACCTTAACAATGAGCTAACAAATAACTGTCTTTTGTACAACATAAGTTCCACGCATATTTCTTCCAATTATGCTCATATTTTCATTCACATAAGTTTTCCTATAAAAGAAACTGAAATCTAGACTAACTTCTCTAAAAACTTTGCAATTGAAATGTTGCTGGCCGTTACAAAATCATAAAGTGAGTCGTACTGACAGTACTTGAAAATGATAAAATAAACCGGATTTACAGTATGTGATACTTCAAGGAGACTTATAAGAGAGATATATATCTGAATACACTGCAACGCATTTAAGTGGCATATGATTCAGCTACTCTCTTGCCTAAAGCATAGGGGCTGAAGTCAGAAGCAACAGATCTCCACAAGCATTTATAATATTACTGCAGTTAACATTCTTCAGCAACAGAAGAGTTCTTACACTGAAGTGCACTTCTAATTCTGAAATATGATTTCAAAGTGTGATAATTTATTTTCGTTACATCCACAGCTTATGTAAATTCAGCTACGTTCAGCCTATCGGCATTAAACTACTTCTCATAATTTTAAACCACTTGTTAGCAAGTGGCAGACAAAACTGTCATCAACTCTGTCTTTTCATACATCTCATAGAGCACGTTCTCCAGTTATACCAGAAAAGTTACTTAATGTGAAGACTGGAAAAAATACGAGTAGAAATGTAACTGATGCTGTTTTTCAGAATATTTATCAGCAGTTATGGCACAGAAAATATGCAAATAGAAAAAATAAGCACCTAGCTAGGGATGTATTTTGGGGGAAAAAAGAAATTCTGAACCTTTTAAACCATGTATATTTGACAGCAAATACACTGAAAAATTACACAGAAAGATTACATAGGGAATGTACAAACTAACGTTTCAAAGAACCAGCTGTTTCACAAATGTACTTTAAGAAGATTTAAAAGAAGTGGTTATACATACTTTCTCAGTTCTCTCTGCTACGTTCCTCCATGTATAAAATGTCTTCACTTTATTATGAACAGTTTCTGGAGATGGTAGCGTTCCTGATCTGAGCTGGGCAATAGCTTTTTCTAATCCATCACACAAAGATTTCACGGAGGGTTCACATAAAATAATGAGACTTTCTGGAAGCACTTCAGGAATCCCGCCAACTCTTGTACTCACCACCTTTGAAAGAAACATAAGAAATAGCACATACACTGCATAACAATAAAATAGAGCAATGACACTGCTATTACACTGCTTAGATACAACCTAAAGGCCAATGCCCTAGAAGAGACCTAGCGTAGTAGATTACCTTTAACAATGTTCAGAATGATTCTTTGGTGGTATGATAAAACAGAAGACTTGATCCAATGAGTTGTTTATGAGACTTCTTTCCTAAGGATGCTTGTCACCATACACAACTAAATCTGTGTAACCAGATTTTTTGACCTTCTCTCCACAGTCAGTCATAAAAACTGTTGCCTCTGCTTGGAAAGGGCAGTTTTACCACATCTGCCTTTAGTTTACGCTTTCTAAGCTCCTGAACATTTGCAAGAATTTCTTTAGAATTTCAGTAATTTTCATCTGAATTATTATTTTTAAAGGGAAATCAGAAACTACTAAGACCCACATTACGCAATCATCTATAAACAGCAGGCAACAATAAGAAAACTCCAGAACTTCCTCACCTCTCGAGAGGAAAACAAATGATAGGGGAATAACTACCATGACTAGGTAGTAACTACTGTCTAAGAATATTGGGAGTAAAAAAAAACACCTTTGCATTTTTTATACTTCTTCTATATTAGATACTCTTAGCAGTCTTTCTTTCAGAAAAAGTTTATTTATTTATATTTTAATGTGAGGATTTAAGAACTTATGGCTGTTGATTTCACTTTTTTTTTTTTTGAGTTGTCAGCCAGAAAGGGATTTTACTGTTTTCTCTCTCTCCAATTCTTATCTTGAATCCCTACGTGGTCAGACAAAGACATCCTCAGTTAATATAAGAAAACTAATGTCAGGTTTTAGTGTAGTAGGAAAACACTTCTTCTACAGTGGTTTAGTCTGGTAATCAAATACACCTGACTGACCAGCTACCCATGCTCGTGAGCCATTTTTCTGCAGCTCCACTTAAAGTAGCATCAAAGTAAACCTTCATGAACATCAGCTACTTTGAAACTCTGTAAAGGGGTACATACAAAATAGCATTTTGGAGAGGTGGTGTCATTAGTTCAGAGAACTGAGAGTTAGCAGAGTTAGCAGATCTACATGTTATTCCTGATTCTGTACAAGTTTCTTCTGGGAGTATTTTTGGTTAACCCTCTGTTTCAGCTTCCAGGTAATGTGTAAATGAGGATATTTTCTCACTTTTGCAAAGACAGAGCCATAGATGAAATCAAATGTTACAAGCACATATTATTTAATCATTAATTTTGTTTAAAATGGATACATGTGTTCTAGTTAGTTGAATTTTTTTTTTTTTACCTGTAAACCACAGCTTGCTGCTTCCACAATTGCCATACAAAAGGCCTCAGTGAGGGAAGTGTTGAGAAAAATGTGCCCCTGGACTAGAACATTTCTGACATCCTGGTGTTCCAAAGCTCCTAGGAGACGTACCCTGCGTATAGGGGGTGGGAAGCCGGGTGGAGAGGGGAAAGAGAGAGGTAAACAAGCACTTAGATCTGGACTGGAATAATACTGCATAGTATTACACATATTCTGAAAAAAAGGTACCAATGGTTCCATTTATATAGTGAGAGAAGGAACACAGACATCTTTGTTCCATTTTCTTTAAATTTGCCCATGAAGAAATAGAAGACTCTGCTTATTTTCATACAAAAAAAACCCTGAAAATAAAAGTTGGGGGAAGGAGGTGCTCTGTTTGTTTCAATGGCAACTGCCTTCAAAACATTTTTATTGAGCTTTCTAGTTCTGTAAGAGAAGGTGGCTTCATGCAGTTAGTAGCTAAGAACTGTCATCCTTTCTTTGCTTAGATATATTTTCTGAATTTTCCATGTGAGGTCTGATCAATCTCAAAGTCTGGGAGGGGGGGAAGTATTCAGGATACAATGATCAGGACCTACTATTTTGAAGATACTGGGAAACAGAAAAGGATGAAATAAGAGTGATGCTAACAAACAATCTTATCAGAGGAATCCCTGAGTGAAGTACAGAATGGGCAACAGAAAATGGAGAAAATGAATTGGAAAATTAATAACTTTGTCCTAGCCACATAAAATTGTCCTTGAACACCAAAAAAACCCCCAAAGAAATACAGAAAAGTGTATGCATCACAGAAACATTTTGGTAACACAGTAGCCCTGGGGAACATATCTCTCTCTCTCTCTCACACGTGTACACACAGGTGTGACTTCACACTTTGGCATAGTCTGCTGGAGGAGTTTTCAGGCCTGAGCTGTTTCTGAAGGCTATATTATCTCTAAAGAATATAATTTCTTCCCCTATGTACTTTAAAAATACCAAAACACCCCTATAAGCTTTACGTCACTCACACATGTAGGTGAACAGGACAAATTTAGCACCTCTGAAAATATCAAAAATTCATTAAGGAGTTTTGATGTAGCAACAGAATGATCCAATTTTGACTATGGAAGAACTTCAAAATAATAATGTTATGCAGGCAAAACACACAACTGCTAGAACCAAGTCTCCATGGTAATGGATTTCACGAGTAATTTCAAGTGCCATTTTCATTTTAGGAGAGAAAAGGCAAGTTTTGTTGTGTTTTTTGTTAAGTATTTTTAAATACGACTCAAAATTAAAATCACTGTAAATATCAGGAATTAGCAGGGACTAGTGTAAACTAATAATTTTTGTGATTTGCTTTCCCAAATGGCACTAAAGTTTACAGTCACTTTCTGTAATATTCAAGTAGTTGAGAAAAATGTTGGATTTTTGTTTCAAAGGCTTCTAACACATATAAAACCCCATGTTCTCCTCCCAGCTTTAAGTGCAAAAGAGATGTTCATAAATTTGCACGAATCCAGAACTAAATTAAAACATAATCCTAAATTGAGGTAGCACATTTTGACCATGTTTCTTTCCAAGAACTTCAGAAAGAAACTGAAGAATTTTAAGTGTAAAGTCTCTATCAGCAAGCATTAAAACCTTTAGCGACCGATGTGTTCTTTCCTCTCCATTTGAGCATTTTTGGAGCCTGGAGGTTGTTCTTTAACTCTTCCTTTTTTCCCCAAAAAATACTGTTTAGTCCATGCGCTTTTAGGTCCTGTGGCATCTATGGCAACATCAATAATGTTATCTGGAGTCATCCACCTCAGAAACGTCAAGAAAAGGAAGTTCAGAACAGCAAAAAGAGCAAAAATACAGCCAGTCACTGGGCCACAGTGAGACATTAATCTGTCAAGTCGCTCATCCATTGGTAAAACCATTTCATCTGCAACCCTGTCATACACCTGTAGGGAGAAGAGACAGAAAGTAAGAAGCGACATCGTTTTAAGATCTCCTTCAAAAATCAGGCAGTACTTGGCTGTCAGTGTGCAAAATAAATTATCTATTCCTAACTACTAGAAGGGAAAAATAGTACCCCCAAAATTTGCAGATTTGAAATGTTGATTTATGAGTACTGTTCTAGAAATTTCAGTAATTTATTTAAGGAGAAAAAAGAAAGGAAATGTCCTATTTTTCTGACAGACCTCAAGAGTATTCCATTGAATAGGTAGGCTGAATAATTTGTTTCTTGTGCAATATTATACAGAGAAAGTTGGGGGTTTTTTAATTAATTGAATGGATTCTAATCTCATATTCACAGCAGTCATAGGAAAAGAATCTGACTATGCAATTACTAGATTTTCAACACAAAGATGGATGAACTCATAGATGAGTCAGCAATCTTCCAAATCTCTGTATTTGAACAATCAAGCAAATCATAACAGGATACTGATTTTTATTTAAAGAAACACTAGTAATTCTTAGTAGAATCTTAAAATACAATGAATGTGAAAATACACGCTACTAGTGACTTAATATACATATTAACTACAACCACTAAAAAACCAAAATAAGAAAAAGCATATAGTCCTGTGTTTCACAGAACAGAAACATAAATACCCAACACACACAACTCAAAAAAGGCTTAAAGTATACAGAGTTTTTTCCTTGGGAACATTACACACTTCATCCCACGGGCACCTTAACAATGAGCTAACAAATAACTGTCTTTTGTACAACATAAGTTCCACGCATATTTCTTCCAATTATGCTCATATTTTCATTCACATAAGTTTTCCTATAAAAGAAACTGAAATCTAGACTAACTTCTCTAAAAACTTTGCAATTGAAATGTTGCTGGCCGTTACAAAATCATAAAGTGAGTCGTACTGACAGTACTTGAAAATGATAAAATAAACCGGATTTACAGTATGTGATACTTCAAGGAGACTTATAAGAGAGATATATATCTGAATACACTGCAACGCATTTAAGTGGCATATGATTCAGCTACTCTCTTGCCTAAAGCATAGGGGCTGAAGTCAGAAGCAACAGATCTCCACAAGCATTTATAATATTACTGCAGTTAACATTCTTCAGCAACAGAAGAGTTCTTACACTGAAGTGCACTTCTAATTCTGAAATATGATTTCAAAGTGTGATAATTTATTTTCGTTACATCCACAGCTTATGTAAATTCAGCTACGTTCAGCCTATCGGCATTAAACTACTTCTCATAATTTTAAACCACTTGTTAGCAAGTGGCAGACAAAACTGTCATCAACTCTGTCTTTTCATACATCTCATAGAGCACGTTCTCCAGTTATACCAGAAAAGTTACTTAATGTGAAGACTGGAAAAAATACGAGTAGAAATGTAACTGATGCTGTTTTTCAGAATATTTATCAGCAGTTATGGCACAGAAAATATGCAAATAGAAAAAATAAGCACCTAGCTAGGGATGTATTTTGGGGGAAAAAAGAAATTCTGAACCTTTTAAACCATGTATATTTGACAGCAAATACACTGAAAAATTACACAGAAAGATTACATAGGGAATGTACAAACTAACGTTTCAAAGAACCAGCTGTTTCACAAATGTACTTTAAGAAGATTTAAAAGAAGTGGTTATACATACTTTCTCAGTTCTCTCTGCTACGTTCCTCCATGTATAAAATGTCTTCACTTTATTATGAACAGTTTCTGGAGATGGTAGCGTTCCTGATCTGAGCTGGGCAATAGCTTTTTCTAATCCATCACACAAAGATTTCACGGAGGGTTCACATAAAATAATGAGACTTTCTGGAAGCACTTCAGGAATCCCGCCAACTCTTGTACTCACCACCTTTGAAAGAAACATAAGAAATAGCACATACACTGCATAACAATAAAATAGAGCAATGACACTGCTATTACACTGCTTAGATACAACCTAAAGGCCAATGCCCTAGAAGAGACCTAGCGTAGTAGATTACCTTTAACAATGTTCAGAATGATTCTTTGGTGGTATGATAAAACAGAAGACTTGATCCAATGAGTTGTTTATGAGACTTCTTTCCTAAGGATGCTTGTCACCATACACAACTAAATCTGTGTAACCAGATTTTTTGACCTTCTCTCCACAGTCAGTCATAAAAACTGTTGCCTCTGCTTGGAAAGGGCAGTTTTACCACATCTGCCTTTAGTTTACGCTTTCTAAGCTCCTGAACATTTGCAAGAATTTCTTTAGAATTTCAGTAATTTTCATCTGAATTATTATTTTTAAAGGGAAATCAGAAACTACTAAGACCCACATTACGCAATCATCTATAAACAGCAGGCAACAATAAGAAAACTCCAGAACTTCCTCACCTCTCGAGAGGAAAACAAATGATAGGGGAATAACTACCATGACTAGGTAGTAACTACTGTCTAAGAATATTGGGAGTAAAAAAAAACACCTTTGCATTTTTTATACTTCTTCTATATTAGATACTCTTAGCAGTCTTTCTTTCAGAAAAAGTTTATTTATTTATATTTTAATGTGAGGATTTAAGAACTTATGGCTGTTGATTTCACTTTTTTTTTTTTTGAGTTGTCAGCCAGAAAGGGATTTTACTGTTTTCTCTCTCTCCAATTCTTATCTTGAATCCCTACGTGGTCAGACAAAGACATCCTCAGTTAATATAAGAAAACTAATGTCAGGTTTTAGTGTAGTAGGAAAACACTTCTTCTACAGTGGTTTAGTCTGGTAATCAAATACACCTGACTGACCAGCTACCCATGCTCGTGAGCCATTTTTCTGCAGCTCCACTTAAAGTAGCATCAAAGTAAACCTTCATGAACATCAGCTACTTTGAAACTCTGTAAAGGGGTACATACAAAATAGCATTTTGGAGAGGTGGTGTCATTAGTTCAGAGAACTGAGAGTTAGCAGAGTTAGCAGATCTACATGTTATTCCCGATTCTGTACAAGTTTCTTCTGGGAGTATTTTTGGTTAACCCTCTGTTTCAGCTTCCAGGTAATGTGTAAATGAGGATATTTTCTCACTTTTGCAAAGACAGAGCCATAGATGAAATCAAATGTTACAAGCACATATTATTTAATCATTAATTTTGTTTAAAATGGATACATGTGTTCTAGTTAGTTGAATTTTTTTTTTTTTACCTGTAAACCACAGCTTGCTGCTTCCACAATTGCCATACAAAAGGCCTCAGTGAGGGAAGTGTTGAGAAAAATGTGCCCCTGGACTAGAACATTTCTGACATCCTGGTGTTCCAAAGCTCCTAGGAGACGTACCCTGCGTATAGGGGGTGGGAAGCCGGGTGGAGAGGGGAAAGAGAGAGGTAAACAAGCACTTAGATCTGGACTGGAATAATACTGCATAGTATTACACATATTCTGAAAAAAAGGTACCAATGGTTCCATTTATATAGTGAGAGAAGGAACACAGACATCTTTGTTCCATTTTCTTTAAATTTGCCCATGAAGAAATAGAAGACTCTGCTTATTTTCATACAAAAAAAACCCTGAAAATAAAAGTTGGGGGAAGGAGGTGCTCTGTTTGTTTCAATGGCAACTGCCTTCAAAACATTTTTATTGAGCTTTCTAGTTCTGTAAGAGAAGGTGGCTTCATGCAGTTAGTAGCTAAGAACTGTCATCCTTTCTTTGCTTAGATATATTTTCTGAATTTTCCATGTGAGGTCTGATCAATCTCAAAGTCTGGGAGGGGGGGAAGTATTCAGGATACAATGATCAGGACCTACTATTTTGAAGATACTGGGAAACAGAAAAGGATGAAATAAGAGTGATGCTAACAAACAATCTTATCAGAGGAATCCCTGAGTGAAGTACAGAATGGGCAACAGAAAATGGAGAAAATGAATTGGAAAATTAATAACTTTGTCCTAGCCACATAAAATTGTCCTTGAACACCAAAAAAACCCCCAAAGAAATACAGAAAAGTGTATGCATCACAGAAACATTTTGGTAACACAGTAGCCCTGGGGAACATATTTCTAGAACCACAAGAACACATACTAAATAAGCACTATCCTGAAGAGTTTCATGCCCTTCAGATTCTCACAAGCAGCACTGACACAAACTAGGTATCTAACAAAACTAGGTGTCTAACAACTTATGCCATATGGTAATATGCGATGCAAGCATCACAGTTTCAGAAAGGAATATGATAAATTTATGTCTTATGTCAGCTTTCCTCTGACTCTAGAGAAGGTTCATGTATTTGTATCAATTAATTTGCAGGATCACTCTAGAAAGTCCAACTCTAAGTCTTCAGTTAGCGTCTGGTCTATCTGCCTTGCCTTCAATAGTTCTCTTCTCCAGCCTCAGGTTTTTGGGTTTCTCTGAAGGCTGTTACTGTTGTCTCTCCCACCCCTAAAGTACATTGAAAGCTCATAGACATGCATAGAACAAACCTGTCATGTAGCTGGTATCTTTCCCGGACTTCTTCCAGTACGATTCGTTTTGGTCCTTCTCCTCCAATTAAGAAATGTAACTCCGGATACTTCTGACAGAGCTCAGGAATTATACCACTAAGCAAATCTATACCTAAGAGTAGAAAATTTAGGGCAAGCCGTTATTGTATTTGATTTTAGAACTTCTCATGATGTAGCCTAATGCTATAACTCTATTCAAGAGATGAAAAAAAAATAATCTTGAAGACTGTTACACTGTTGGACATGAAATTATGAAAAAAAGACAACTTATGCTCTATTAAGAGACAAATATGAAAAAAAATCACTTAAGTTGCTGTTGCTTGATTGAATAAAAAACCAGCTAAAACAATTCTAACAGAAGATTAGGGCCTAAATCATATTTCAAATATATGCCAAATCTTCCATTTTACAAATTTCATCTTTAAGTATCTTCAGTATTACAGAAGAAATACACACCTCTGAACCCAACATGCACTAACTGAAATGTACATTCCTTCTTGCACATACAGAAAAGTTCAGAACCACCACCTTACAACTCCTGTTTAAAACCCAATCCATGCCACGGACACAGCATAAGTGGTACCTAACCAACACCTTTCTTACCATACCCTAAAGAAAAAAATAACCAAAATAAACTTACATTTTAGCCCCCATTACCTTTTCTGTAAACAAGTCTGCTGACAACAACAATGGTTACTGTACTGTCATCCCTCCTTGATGGGTCTGGAGTGAAGTCAGTGGGATCAACAGCGTTGGGGATGACGGAGACTATCCGAGGGTCCAAGGCTGCTCTCAGCACTGTGTTTTCCTTACTTGTGTAGGAGACACAGATGATGTGGTTGGTATCACACAGGGACACGGTCAGAAGTTTGTTGGTAAGCACCGAGCTGACATCCGCAAACCCAAAGAGGGAGTGGTCCGTGAACACTGTCCGCAGCCCCATGGTCTTGGCGTGGAAGAGGGCATCATGGGCCATGGCGGAGAAGGAGCTGTGGGCGTGGACGACGGTGACCCTCTCCCGCACAAAGATGTACCTGAGCAGGGGCAGGCTGTGGAAGAGCGTCGTCGCCGTGGACTGGTTGTACATTACCTTCAGGGGCAAGTAGTAGACCTTCAGCCCATTGGTGAGGTAGCGGACACCCTTCCGGCAGCCGTAGGCATGGGTGACCACCAGGACCTTGTGGCCCCGCTCGATGAGGCACTGCGACAGCTGGTACACGTGGCTCTCCACGCCCCCCATGTTGGGGTAGAAGAAGTCCGACACCATGCAGACGCTGTGCCACCTCCCCGCCGGGACGCCGGACGCCATCCCGGGCCCGCTCCTGCCGGGGGAACCACAAGGCGCCATCACTCGCCGGCGCCCGCCCGCGAGGATCCCGGGCCCTTTCACCACGGACGGTTCCCTCACAGATGACGGTCCCCCCGCGGCCGCCGGGCCCGGCCATCCATCCCGCGCAGGCCGCACCGCGGCCTCCGCCAACGCCAGCAAAGCTGACCAAGGGCGGGGGGAGGCCGCGGGCCCTTTAAGAGGGCGATCGTCCCGGCAACCGGCGGCTGCCTCGAGGGAGTGGGGGGGGTGGTGAAGGGGGG